AAAAAAAAAAAAAAAAAAAAAAAAAGATGTTGCCCTCACATCTACCTTTAGAATGTGAAGAGAGCAAAAAGAACAAAAGGAGCAATAGGCTGTTTAAGCTTAATTTGTCTGTTTTTCCAGCAATACCATACATATTTTTCAAAAACTCCACCAAGCAGAATTAGAATTATGTCTCATTAGATAGAATATGTCTCATGACCACCACTAACATAAAGGTGCTATAGTTGGGAATTGGGTCAGCTAAACAATGGAGTCTCCAACATACCGTTAAAGTAATTACCTTTATCATTATAAAGGCTGTCTTAATCTGCTAGGGCTTCCGTAACAAAATGCCACAGACCAAGTGGCTTTAACAACACAAATGTGCTTTCTCACAGTTCTGGAGTCTGGAAGACTAAGATCAAAGTTTCAGCAGGTTTAGTTTTTCCCAAGGCCTCTCTCCTTGGCTTGTGGATGGCTACCTTTTTGCTGTGTCCTCACATGGCCTTTTGTCTGTGCACACACATCTCTGGTATTTCTTCCTCTTCTTATGAAAATACAAGTCCTCTTGGATTAGGGCTCCATCCTAAGGGCCTCATGTAACCATAATTACCTCTTTAAAGGCTACATCTCCTAATAGAATCACATTGGAGATTAGAACTTTAACATATGAATTTGTGAGGGTGTACACAATTTGGTCCATAACAGTGTCATGAATCTTATGTATCTAAAAAGGCACATTATTGGCACTTTGGGTGGCATAACAGTGGTCCATCCAGAACCACCCATTACAGTATGTTTAGCATCTCCCACCCCCACTCACTCTATTGCAAATAGTGGTCCCAGTCATTGTTGAAATGAAAGTGTTCACTGGAGTATCACTACATCTGTTTAGAGCCAATTAGATTCACAAAATGGAAATAGTCATTCAAGGGGAAATATATGTATATATTTGAAAACATAAATTGCTGTTTAAAATGCTGACCAAGTTTACTTTGGTTTCCTTAATGTGTATTAGAATTAGTCTTCTATGAGAAGTTATGTGTGAAACATACAAGGACACAGATAAGTAAAGTGTTACAGATAAGTAAAGTGTTAACTATAATAAGATTAGAAAATTTTGAGTGATTCAAATTTAGATAGGTCATCAATATATTTTACCTTTACAGGTAGCTAATGTGGCTCCGCCTCAGATTAAAACTTGAAAAAGAAAAAGTTTTGTTTTCAGTAAATCTCTAGCTTCCATTATTTTGCCTTTCTTCCCCCCACCCCGCCCCCAACCAGCCTAATGTTAGCAATGCCCTGCTTTTGCCTATTTACTCAATATCTGTGTTTACTCTACCAATAAAATAAAGTTTTAGTTTCTCCCCAATTCCATCTTATTTCTATCTTGCCAACCCTCTCCTCTTAATTTCCAAGAGCCAGCTTTATCTAACTACAAAAATTACTAGTGGATCTCATTTTAAATATCATAATGAAAATGATTGGTTGCATAATTCAAACATAGCTATAATTGA